GTGTATATATATATATATATGTGTGTGTGTGTGTGTGTGTGTGTGTGTGTGTGTGTGTGTATCTCCTCTCCATGAAACCTTTTGAGTTAAGACCTATTGGCTTTAAACTCTTAATTTAACATTGATAGCCAACTAGTGTTTGGGTATACCTATAGTTGGTCATAAATATCTTTATGTGTTTCTATAATTTTATTCATTCATTTAACAAATATTTATTGAGGGTATATTGTATGCCAGGCTCTGAGATAGGTACTAAGGATTAGCAGTAAATGTAAGAGGCTAAAATCTTCCTTTTCTTTGAGTTCACAGTCCAGGCAGTAGAAGGGGCAGACTGTAAATAAATAAAGATAATACATACTGTATTAGATTATAATACATACTCTATTAGATTATAATACATCCAATCAAGAAAAAAAGCAGTGACAGAGAGAAGGTGGGTTGGAAGGAGAGTGCACAATCATGAATATGGCACCCAGAGAAGGCTTCTCTGGGAAAGACACATTTGAGCAAAGACCTGGAGGTGATGGGAGTCACAAGGATGCCTGGGGAAGAGTGTTCCAGGCAGGGGGAAAGAGGATTCCTGGCATGTGCCAAGAGCAGAAGGGAGCCAGTGTGCCTGGGGTGGAGACCCAAGGTAGAGAGCAGCAAGAGGTGAGGAAAAGGAGGCATTGGGCCCAAAGAGCAAATCTGTTAGGATTTAACTTCTTATTTAACTAAAGTGGAAGCCATTGAGCAAGGAATTGAATGATATGGTTTATATATTGAAAGTATTATTTAGGTGCTGGGCTGACAATAGTCTTTAGGAGAGCAAGGCCCACAATAGGGGGCCAGTTAGGAGGCTATTACAGTAGTTGAGACAAGAGATGACATTGACCTGGACCAGGATATTAATGGTGAAGGTGGTGATAAAGGGTTAAATTCTGGATCTAGCTGAAGAGAGAACAAACAATTGGTTACAGATTAGTATGGGATGAGTCAGAAAGGGTATTGTCAAGGATAATTTCAGAATTTTGACCTGAACAAGTACAGGGACAGAAAAGTCATTATGCTGACAAGGTATGGTCAGGGACTGTACCAGGGACTCAGGACACTGAGACAGAAGAGGCTGCAGTAGAGACAGGAGCCCAGGAGTTTGCAAATGCAAGGGTCACCCGCTGGGGCAAGGGTGAGGAGGTGGCTGATATGGTCAGAAAATTGTTACATAAGGCAAGCTAGAGAAAATAAGTCAACACACTGAAGGTATTCGGGACTCAGGTTTCTCTGTCAGAGAAGAGATTAATACATATAGAAAGGAGGAAGCCTGGAAAAGACGCTAATGTATTGAGTTAGAATTGGAGGTGATATAGATATAGGAATAGAGATAGATATATATCTCTATATGTTTAAATGACATATATGTACAAGTGAATATATAGAGAAATAGATACATTATAAACACACATATAGAAAGAGACATAAATATGTGAGTGCTTGTGTGTGAACATTTATAGTTTATTTCCTAGCTCAGTCCACTCAGAGAGTGACAAGTTATGGCATGTCATTAGCAGTGAACATGATGGGTACCTGTATCTTGTTTCTAAATTCCATCCTCCATTAAAAGGGACCAGGGCTCCTTGTGGAGCTGGCTGATTTCAAGGCTGGGGAAGGGAAAGTAGTAAATGAACCTGAATATATTTATGTAACTTCAGAAAGTTAGAAGGTTCCCAAAGAACAATGAGGACTTATCAGAGGGATAGAAGAGCCAGCTTGACAGAGATACCCTCTGACCAAATCTGGGTAATTAGAACATCAAATTAATGAAAATAACAGAATACAACTCAATGAATGGAATACATGAGTCTATACTGACACAAATACATAAATGAAGGGAAGGGAAAGATTTTACAGAAGAATGCCAATCAATAAATGCAAAGAAATGATGCAAATAGAAGCCCATCATTTGGCAATCACCACAGTGGTGGTTGATACAGGTGGGAGTCATCAGTTTCTCCTGAAACTGGTTGAAGGAGGGTTCTGTGAGGAACAGGATATTGGTGTGGCCACAGAGTATATCCCTATCAAATACTTACTGATCACAAAAGGGAAAGTGGTCACTTGACAATGGAAATTTTCAGTGTGCACCAATCCAGGTGGTCAAGATTAACATTACCATGAGGAGATGGTTCAACATCACACAAAGACTATTAGGCAGGTGTTCACAGTCGACATGGCTCAACAGTGAGGATGAACCATAAAGGGCACAGCACTGTTCCTTTGATGTTTCCAACAAGAATACATGGCCTACATCAGAGATTAAGAAATGTCCAATGGAACTATAGACTGAAGTGCATATGGTTTTTAAAATTACAAAGGCATGGAAGACAGAGAAACTGAAGAACTGTAGCAGACAAAAGGAGAATGAAGAGGCTAAATGTAATGTGTGCTCCTGGGTTTGGGTCCTAGACCAAAAATAAAAGAGAGAGAATGAGGGGAAAGTTGGTAAAATTTGAACAGGTTCTATGGGTTGGCTGTATTGAGCTGATGTAGGAGAGAATCCTGATTTAAGGAAAATATATACACTGGTGTATTTAAGTATGAGGGGTATCAATGTCTCTTAAATGTCTCAGAAGAAGAATATTGATCATGAGTACTACTTATCTATCTATCATCTACCTACCTATTTGATAAATAGAGAAAGAGAAATCAAATGTAAAATGGTAACAATTGGGGAAAACTAGGAGACAAGGACATAGGAGTTATCTGTACCATTTTTCCATAGTTTAAAATTATTTCAAAAATTAAAAAGTAACTTGATTTGTCAGTGAGTTTAATCCTACTTTTACAGAAAAGAAACATTGAATGACAACACTAGGACCCCCAAAGTTCTGGACAGAGAGTAACCTGTGAAGATTTATGAGTTTTAGTTAATAGGCAGATCAGTAGGTGTCAAGAATTGATCTCCCAATCTAAATGTATACAATAGTGCAGGCTGGGTTAACAGCATGTGTGGGGAGGGAAAGTATTTTGGAAGGATTGGGTTGGAGCAGTTCATTCTTATTTTAAGGAGGTCAAGGCAATTTGGAGGGTAAGAGATAGTGTAAGATTGTGAAACTATACCATGTGAGGAGAGGCCAAAGGGGCAGGACGTTTTAGCCTGGACAAAGTAAGTCACACAGGGAATCTGTTATTTGTCTTAAACAATTTGGAAAGCTTTCTTATGAAATGAGGTTTAGACAGTTGAATGACCACTATGGATAGAAAAAGTATCAACCAGCTTTTTTAAAAGGCAGTGTTACACATTTCATATTTAAGAAAAGTGGAATGTACTCTGGGTTGATGAGCTTCACACCACAGGGAATGCACAGGCAGGATCAGCACTTGATGGAAATATTCTGTTGGAAACAAATATCAAAAGTATTAGGTGACTTTTAAGCCCTGTTTAAACACTTTTTACAGCAATAGCTACTATTTTTTGAATGCTTACTGTATGCACAATAGTGTGCCAAGAATTGCAGATGCATTATCTCAGTTAGTTCCTACCACAGTTCTATTGGGTAGGCACCCTTACCCCCTCATCACAGTTGAAGAAAATGAAGCTTAAACACTGCACCCCACATGCATATCAAACAAATCACACAGAAATGTTGGAGCCAGGATTCAGCCCTATGACTGCTGATGCCATAAACCACTCCAAGACTCTTAGCTTCCACAGTTACTGCCTCTAAGTCCCAATAATTCTCCTTTGTCCCCTGCTTCAGAATCTCGAACCACACAGTATCCATTGGCATGTCCAAGGGATCAAATGGTGTCCACTGATTTATCTCATTGTCAATAGCCTCTCCCATATTCTTTTTAAATTCTTTCTCATTCCTCTCCTCTTCCTGAGATAATGCTTTCTCATAACTTGAGTCTGAGCTCCTTTCCTGCTATCAAGAAAATGCATCTTGCCTAGTTAGTTATTTGTGCCTTGCCTGGTAATCAACCAACCAGATGTATATCTGGTTAAAATAACTAACCTCATCCCAGCTCCTAATTTTTACCAGGTACTCTTCCAGTTATTGAGTCAATGTGCGCTCAAACCTGTGCCACTCATTCCTTCATTCTATTCATAGTTTCACCTCCTTTTGGGTCAAAGTACAGTTCATTACTCAAGCACTTGACCTAGCTAGTGTCCTGAAGTAGCTCCTTGTGAAAGTTTTGCCTCTGAACTCTACTAGCCAAGACATCTTGGGTTTCAAGGCAATGTATAAAAACTAACCTCTTCTGAGAAAGGTAAAAGTAAGCACTTGGCCAGGAGAAGTGGGTGAGGGAGAGAAGTTTGCAATTGATTCCCAAAGCAGACCCAAGATGTTAAGGTCTCATGAAAAAAAAAATCTGCCTCAAAACGCAAGAAACTAGTACTATGAAGCAGCCCTCCAAGTTACTTAGCAACAGTTGACAGGGAGTGGCTCCTTGACTGGTGCCAGCTGTCCTCAATGTGCCCTGTAAAGAGCTACTTTCAGACTTGCTTTATTAAAGCCCCTTTCCTCCTGCCTTACCTGCTGAGGACTCTACAAATCACAGCTAGATGTGAGTTTGCTTGTGCACTCCTTGCACACTTAACAGTGACTCACCTGCACTCTCAAAAAGTAGACAGTCCCCTCCTCATGGGCTATAAATATGCTATTTGGGAGGTTCATTTTGAAATGTCATTAAACCAATGGGTATACTTGACAATGTACGTCTTTCACACAGATAAACCCAGGAGTAAGATGTTTCTGGATGATTGGATGTCTTTCCAGACTGGTACTTTTCATGTCTTTATAGTTTTTCTCCTCCAAAAGATTTTACCAAATGAGCTTTCCAGAAAGCATGGCTTTGGAAGGCATTAAGAGGCAGAGTGAAGAGTATGCCTCATTGGCAGTGAACTCCTATCCCTGGGGTAAAAGTCTTTGGGGTGGAAGTGGGAAGAGAAATAAAGATAACATTTACTTAAAAGGCCAACAATTGTGCAAAAAGCCTGGCCTCTTACATGCACCAGCATGAGTTTTCGTGGCCTGGACTTGCAGCTTCAGAATCAAGCAAGCATGCGGCCCAAACGTTGGCCCAGGCTGGAGCTGGTAAGCACCTGTGGTGGGCGGCGGGGCTGGGTGTGGGTCGTTTTTCTGAGTGATGGAACCGGAGGCTACTCTATCGCAGTGGTGCGGGTTAAGTGAGAAATGGCACGAGACGCTAGGACTTAATTTTCACATTTTGGCGCTTCATGTGTACTTTTGTGATAACTCCCCAAACCACTGTCCGGGTCACATCTCTACACTGTTTGCCGCTGTGACGTTAACTCTTTTTCAGACAGCACAAATTTAATACCAGCAAAAGAAACCAAGTTACCTTGTCCTCTTAATGCACGCGAAGGACATTTCTCATATCCTGTCCTTTCTCTTTCCACTAGTCCCCAACCTACACAAAATAGTGTGTGTGTGTGTGTGTGTGTGTGCGCGCGCGCGCGCGCCGGATTCCCACAACACTCCCCCATCCCCGGCTTGCAAAAGCCTGAGCAGCTTCTCGAACTTGCTGGCTACAAAGCCCTGGGAGGCTTGTTAGGTGACCCACACTCAGCAAGCAGGAGGCTCGGAGGCGGGAGCTGGGCGGGCGGAAGAGCTGGGACCGCCCGGCGCCAGGCGCAGCCAACTAGCAGACAGGGAGGGTGGGAAGGGCGGGCCAGCGCGTGCAGAGAGGCGCGGGCTGTCACAGGCGCCTCGCGCGCGCTGCAGGTGGCAACTTGGAGGTGCCACGGCCACCGTGACAAGAAGAGCCCGGGTCTGGCGGCCCCTATCAGCCTCCGGGAGTCCTTTCCCGCCGCCAAGCCTGAGACGCGACCCGGGAAAATCTGAAAGAAAAAGCGGCTGCGTGGGTACCTGTGAGCAGCCCTACCTCTCTGCTGCCCTTGCGCCACTTTTTCGAGGAACCTTGGACCTGGAGGCTGCGAAGAGGTTCCGGGGGCGCTACAGAGGAAGACTCCCAGTGACTCAGGTGAGCGCCTTTCCTTTCCAGTGCCTCTCCGCTCTTCGAAGCCTAGCGCAGGCCAGGACGCCGGCTCGCCCGGTGGGCAGGGGCTGGGGCTCCGGCGCCTGCCCTTGGTTCGAGGTCGATGAGGGAGAAGCAAGGAAGGGGCGAGGCTGGCTTGGCTGGCCTCCCCTGGGGGCTGCTAACCCGGACCCTCCTGGAATCGGCAAAGACTCCTGGGAGGGCACCCTGAGGCAAGAGACCGGTAGAGGCCAGCTTTAAGGTGGCGGGAGGGCTTGCATCTTCCTTAAGAGGGCGGGGATCGCCTAGGTGCCCGCCGTTCAGGAGACGCAGCGGGAGCCCGGCGCGGCGCGGCGGGTCTGCGAACGCCTGGAGTGAGCGCGCCGGGCCGGGTTAGAGCACTAATTTTCAGTCTCTGCGATCCTCAGGCGCCGGAGGACGTCATCCCTCTCCGCTCTGGCAACTCCTCCTCCTCCCCTCTCGCCTCCACCCTTCGCGCCCGCTGTTCAGCCTATTCTGAGATTCGGTGTCTTTGCCAGCGCGCGAAGTAGTGGCTGCTGTCACTCCTCGCTTTCCTCGCTAGAACTGGAGCGCCCCGGGGTCCCGCTCCCCACCCCGACCGCCTAGTTTTGCGCTGGAAGCGAGTGAGGCTAGCTGGTTCCTAGCGCCGAGAACAGAGGTGAGCGCGGGCTCGCTCTCTAGTGCTCCCTCCATCCATCCCCGCCCAACTGCAGTTTAAACCCCTCGTCCAATGACCGGGATCTCAGAAGCAAAGCCTAGCTTGCTCTGAGAAATTGGGGGGCCTCCTAGGACGGTGCGAACATTGGAGAAGAGGCGAGAGCCTCTGCCTCCATCTGGGCGTTTCAGCTCCAACCTTAAAGTGAACAGTGGCTCTCAGACTTCCGTGTCCCACTCGCGGAGTGGGGGAGGGGGGCTGGCGGCGGATTGTGTGTGTGTGTGTGTGTGTGTGTGTGTGTGTGCGCGCGTGTGAGATCCTCCGCGAGGCGGAGGCGCAGCATCCCACTCTCCTTGCTAGGCTGAGCCGACGAGTCCCCTCGCCCCTCACCGCGAGGGGCGCGCGGCTGCATCCCAGCAACTCAGCACCGCCGGCTCCTCTCCTCCCGCTCCAGCTACAGGCCTCCACCTAGGCACGTCCCGGGGTGAAAATCATCTGGCAAAAGGGTGCATGTTGGGGTTCGAGGTGCTCCTGAGACGAATGAGGAGGTTTTTCAAAATCCCAGGGAGCGCCCCTCACCGGGCATTTGATCTTCCCGCAGCGCGGCTCTAAGGATCTCGTGTGGAGGCTGGAGGAAACGGTTCCGCGCTCCAGGGAGGGCAAAGTGTCACTTGGAAGTCGAAGTTAGGGCCGTTGGACACCGAGCTTCCTTTGCCGTGTCTTGCTCGGGCCGAGGATCTAGCCGGTGGGCCCACGGGCGTGCGGGGGTCATGCTGCACGGGAGGTTGGGGACCAGCTGCAGGAAGGCTCCTCCGAGCTGTGGGAACTGAAGGCCCTTTGCGCGTTTTGGAGGGCTCGTCAGGGCTGCTGCGGGCTCGCCGGCGCCAGAGTTGGGCTGGAAGTTGAGGTCGGGGTCCGCACCGCGTGGTGACAGCCCTCGCGGTGGCTGCGGATTCAGAGCAGCACCACGCGGCGTGTACCGCCGCCCCCTCCGCTCTCCAGCCGCGGCTTTCGCTTTTCATTACGCAGAAGTGAAGCCTCTGCGCGGGGAAATCCTGGGGTGCAGGAGGAGAAATCCTCTGCGGAGCGAGGGGCGGTGTCCGAAAGACTATAAAAGGGAAAATGCCGGGATCCGGGCGGCACCAGTGCGATTGTGCTGTGGTGAGCTCCGAGGATCTCCGGACGGAGCTCGGCTGACGCGTTCCAGAGGTCCAGCTCCCGGCCGTTGGCGCCGCTCTTCCGAGGGGACCGGGCATTAGAGCCCACTCCACCCGCACCCCAGGCTCGTGGACAACTCCTGTGTAGTCCCCTCCGAACTGCATTGGATTCAGACTGGGCACAGAAAGGACTGGAATCCATGAAATGAATGATAGTAGAAACTACTGTAAATCTCAAATCTAATTCTGGTTTAAATCTAAACTCCATTTGATTAAAAACAGACAAATCTGGTAGAGCCGGGTCTGGGTGGTGGCCCCTATACTGTATTTCTCCCCAGGGCAGCTCCTGAAGGGCCCTATAAGGTTTGCCGTTCCCAAGCTGGGTCTGTCTTGTTATGGGGGGAGGGGTCTTTATATCTCTCCATTTAACTTATAGCAGGAAAGAAGTCAAGTTCAGGCTGGCTTTGAAATGACCTTTCAAGCCTTCTTCCTCTTCCTTTGTCTGCCATAAGCATTTCTCAGCGGGATCAATTCCCATTCAGGGACTTAAGCGTTACTGAGGGGTTAAAGTCCTTTCCTGTAACATTAGTATCCAAAGACGACTTTAGAAGTAGGCTTCTTGGACCATGTAGTGACCTTGGGAAAACATTCTGAGGAAGAGAAGTATAAAACCAAAATTTTGTAATTAGATTATTACCTCTTTATCCCTTACTAGACATGTAAGTTATTGGAGATATCCTTACTAGGATATAAGCTATTGAAGTCAGGGCTCTGCCTGTGTCATCCTCTTATCTCCAGGGAGGCATTTAATAATTTCTAGGATCAGTCATTATTAAAATCAGAATATTAAATTAATTCACATGGTCATTTTGAGGAGTAATGTACATCGTTTACATATATTTTAAACTATTTGGGCCTGGTAAAATCACTTTAAATAAGAATGCATATTAGTTATGCATTCTTATTAGTTATGCATTCTTATTAGTTATGCATATTAGTTATGCATTCTTATGATATTAGTTAGAAATAGCAGAATGAGGGCTGTGTGGTTGAGGTCCCTCTAAAACAGCCTCTGATGAATGTGTCTAGAAACAGAGATCTCACTCCGAAGTGCACAAGTATTTGTGAACGCATTTCATATAAATTAGTAATCAAATGTTAGGGACACAGGGCAAACATGACATGGTCTCTGCCCACACAGTCTAGCTGGTGGGCCAAAAAGGAGACAGGATTTTGGTGCTAACCTAGAAAAACGTGAGACACTTAAGGGATCTCAGTGTAGTGACCCCACACTTGGAGTGGCAGCGGCCAGGGAGATCGCTACAGATGGGTCCTGTGATTTGGAGTTTAAGGAGGAGATAATTAAGCAAAAACTTAAGCAAATACTTCATTAAAAAGATCCAGGGAGGCTACTGAGTCACAGTCCACTCTGGGCCACTTCCTCATCTGGAAGGATGATATTTGATTTTCACCTGCCACACTGTGCGGATTTATCTGTGACTCCAGGTATCGGAAGTCCTGGGAAGGGAGGTGTGAGAACTAGCACATGGAACATAGAAGTTTCTGATTTAGAACTAGTTAACAAAGAATAGCAAGACACACAATTAGTTAGAAAATAGGACTTTCATTGGAGAGCTGCTACAGAGGCTACAAGATTTTTTAAATATTTTATTTAATTTTTAGAGAGAGGGGAAGGGAGGAATAAAGAGAGGGGGAACATAGAGAAACATCAATGTGAGAGTGAGAGAGAAACATGGGTTGGGGACTTGGCCGGCAACCTGGGTATGGGTCCTGATGGGGAATTGAACCCACAAATTTTGGTTTGTAGGACATCCAACCCACTGCACTATACCAGTCGGGGTGAGGCTAGAAATCTTAAAAGCTGTTGAACCATGCTCTTCACAGTAAAGGTGGAGAAATATAAATAGCTGTTAGAAAGTTTATGATTTGTCATACTGCCAGGGAGTCAATGAAACTGCAATATAAAAATCAAAATAGTGAACAAATTGTTGAGAAGAAAATTTATTTTGTTTTCATGCTAGTTGAGTACCATGTATGGCTTTTGTCTGGGAGCATTTGGTGTCATGAGGACATGATTTGCAAAAAAAAAAAAAAAAAAGTTGGTCTGATAGATGTCCAGCATGTGTTCTGAAGTGCTGGGGGTGCACAGCCCAAAGCTAATAAGGGATCTTATCCTGGTGGGACTGTGGACAGAATGCAAGGCATGGGAGCTAAAAGTGCACTGTCTTGAAATTCTCTATAATGCAATAGTGCACAGCTAACTAGGTTAAAAGCAATCTTGAGGAATGGAATGGCACTGAATATAATTGAGGCGGGGTAGAGAAGATTTCAGTCAAATAGAATGAATGGAGATTAGAACTGGAGAAAAGAGATAAATGGGTAAAGGAATGCATGGTAGTACTTAACATCAAGAACTCTGAACTAAAAGGAGGGAGAGAGCTATCCTTTCTTAGTGTGGTGGAAAAACAAGCACATAAATCAGAACTCAGCCATCTCACTACTGGCTTCAGCATGTTATGTAAGGTCCCTGAGCCACAGCGTCCCCATCAGCAAAATGGGGATAAGAAGGCTTCCTGGCAACAAAATTCTGGTTTTCTAGCATCAGAAATGTGGTTGACTGGATGAGTTATTACCCCATCTTTATTTTCAGCCTCCATTAGGAATCTATTCTCACATTTCCAAGGAGATATTTTTACCCAGCTGTTTCAGTCACGTGAGACTGAATATGTCTAAAAATGTTATTCATCAATTTCCTACTTTCTGCCCTTACACCAGTACAGCGTGTCCTGAGTCACCAGGCGGGAAACCTGATTTTCACTTTTTTTAAAGATCCTCAACAGAAGATATGTTTATTGATGTTAGAAAGAGAAGAGGGGTGAGAGAACATCAATGTCAGAGAGAAACATTGATCGGTTGCTTCCTATACACACCCTGACTGGGGATCAAACCTGCAACCTAGATACATATGTGCCCTGACCTGGGACAGAACCCACAACCTTTTGGTGTATAGGACGATGCTCCACCCAACTCAGCCACGAGGCCAGGGCCCTGGTCTTCATTTTTTACACCATCTTCTCACATTGCTCCCCTACAGTCACATACCACCGAAATCTCAGTGGTCAAGTTGTCGTGACTCTCATTGTCACTTTCTTTCTGTCACGTTGCCAGCAGTCCCGCTCCAGGCTCTGCCACCTCTTGCTCAGACCATGTGGTAGTCATCCTAGCCCACTCTCATCCTACCTCCCCTCACCTCTGCACCCAGTTCAATCTTTTTACAGAATAGCTTTGATTATATCAATTCCTGGCTTCAAGTCTCTCCTGTTTCCTGAGGATAGGTCTAGATTCTTTGGATTTACACGTTTATTCAAAACCCTATCCTCTCTACACATTCAGTGCTGTGTCCCACTGGCCCCAACAGGAAACAAAACACCTGTCTGTGTTTCCAAGACATACCTTAAGGTTTTACTTTTATGTCCTTTGTCATCCATTTTCTTCACCCTAATTGCCCCTCCTCATCCTGTCTCCATCTTGAAATCTACCAGTTTTTCAAGGCCACCACCTCCCCTATGAAGTTTTTCTGGATCGTCCTTAGAACATTTCTGCCCCTCCTCTTCCCTTTTGCAGCTGTGCTTTTTTCCTCTCGTGTGGTGCATGCACTGTCTTCATTCTTTAGTGTGTTCCTGTTGATTGAGAAGTTGTTCATTTTTGCAGTGACCACTAAGTGGTGCCCAGAGTGGGAGCTCAATGACCCGTCATTGAGTGAATGATTGTTCAGGGCAGCCTGAGAAGGGCAATGAGAGAAGAAGGACCTTCCAAACC